AGCCTTTCTAAATTAGGAAAAGACATTTTAAATTAGCCATAAAAGTCAAAATATACACATTCAAATTTTACTTCATATGCATAATATTCAAGAAACTACAGCATAATGTGCACTGCCAAGTGTATTCACTATAGAAGTGATCCTATAAAGTATGATCATTTAAGTGTATTCACTTTAATAAATGTTAAAACCAAAGCAACCCCCCCCCCAACCCCTTGCTTCTTCTTGTTGTGGGGGTGCTTAAGAGAGGCAGAATGAGGTCCAGTATAGGGGATCATCCCTACTTTGGACCTCAGCCCTTGCCTTAACTATCTTTGCATGGTTATATCTTCCCCTCTCCTTTCCTTCTCTTCTTCATTCCCTTCTTCTGTCCATGTGTGCTGTGTGGTGCAGCGGTTGCGTTCTCACTTAGCAATCTGCTGACCTGGGTAACACCAGACATTTCTTGCACACAGGATAATTTAGAAGCAAAGAAACAGACAGCAAGTCACAGCAAAGAATACACATTGTAACAAATGGAATTAAAGTAAATAATTTATTTATTATTTAATTCATATCCTATTGAGAGAGAGCCATGCTGAAAGGATGACAGGCCAGCTTTGTGTCAGTCCAGAACAGCTTTCGTACTCCATTTGCTCTTCTCTCTTTACCCTTTTCACTACCATGGTAACCTACAGTGCTCTGCAATCTTTGACATCTAACATATTTTGTAATAATTGAGAACTCATTTTACATTCTATGCCACAATATTTATCATGACCTTTCCTTACCTGGAAAGTTTAGCTAGCATCACCATACCACTCTATCTTGAACATACCGCTAATTACCACTAATTACCCTGTAAGATAAATGGTAAACTGAAGGATGTAATGGCCAGATTTTACTTGCCATTAAAAATGAAAATATTTTGGTTAAAATACACTTGAACTTGAAGGGAATCTCATTGCTATGAAATACATTATGGAAATCACAAGATATACTCAAAGAGTCGGACTGAATGATAACAGAAAAAAAAATATTTTTCTAACTTGAATTCTCAAAGCTTGAACAAATCCCAACAGTACTATTGTTATGCTATATCCAGCTGAGATATCTATCAAATGAGAAAGCTATCAAAACCTTGGAAATTGGTGACCAATCAGACCCCCATGTATCTCTAACAATGGTAAAGAAAACCCTCTAAACTAAAAACAAGTATCACTATGAGACTGCTAGAAAAGCTTGATAAGGAAACAATTGGTTGAACTACTTGAGAAAGATGAACTCAAACAAATAGTGTGGATTCATGGGGATAGAAAATGAGTTGCAAATCTTAAGTTTTCCAACAGATCTGCTGAGATACTGTATGAAGGAGATAACTAGATGGAGACTATTTGGTATATTGCTCACACACGCACACACACACGCACACGCACACACGCACACGACACACACACACACACACACACACACACACACACACACACACACACACACACACACACACACACACACACACACACACACACACACACACACACACACACACACATATATATATATATATATATATATATATATATATATATATATATATATATATATATATATTATATGTATGTATATTTAATATATATATTGTGGTATAATTGAAAGAAGAGTGTTAGGTTGGTGAGAGATGGAGTGTTGTTTTCTTGTTTGCGGTAACAGTGCGGGATTGTTTTTTTTTTTTGTTAGCATCTGATCTATTGTTTTGGCGTCGGGCACGGCGAATGGTGAT